CAGGAGCGCTACATTCACTCCTCTTTCACTCATCATCACACCCAAATCATTCAAAACCGCACTCGCACGCTGATAATTCACCTGAATCACATTCATACAATCAGTCATCGCTTACTCTCATTCTCATTCTATCAAGCATACTTTGGTACTCCGGGCAATCCTTCGAAAGCACGGAGTGACCACACACTCTCTTTCTCTCTTTACAATTTCTACACCGTTCTTTTGCTCCACATACAAAACTTTCATGCCCTTGCACTCCACACTTTCTACACACTTTCTCTTCCAATTTACACTCACGCATCATATGACCAAAGCCATAACACTTAAAGCATCTCATCACACATTCAATCTCTCTCACTTTAAACGCATTCCATCCCACATACACTCTTCCTTCTTTCAACATTCTGTCTTTCGCTCGTCCACTCACTTCCAACTCCACATTCCCATCTTTCGCATCTTTCTTGTTACTTCTACTTATAATTCTTACACGCTCTTTGAACTCACTCACACTCATATACTCTCTTAAATTACGTTTATACAAATCATTCATAATACACTCACTCGACATTTCATTTGGCACATCATACAGAATGACCTTTGGGCCGATCTTCTTTGGGAGATCGACCGTAAGGCTGATTTCCTTGAACTTCGTGCAGTCACGGATTATTCCTCGCTCTCTTTCAGTCACCGTTTCTATCGCAATACCTACATTCCTCGTTTTTCTCAAAGCACTCACACGCACATTCAGCAGATCACTCACCTCATTCAAAACTTTCTTTTTAATCTCCTCACTTGTAACATTCGCACTCTCATTTACGGGCTTCACCACGACGGCATACGCCTTCCGTGGTGGAGCCTTCCTTTCACGCACATTCGTTCTGGCACCCTCACGCACACTAACATTTTCACGCACACTCATATCACGCGCATTCACACCATCACGCACAACACGATTATCACGCACACCCATATTTCGCTTCGCCACATCGGCGTAGCATTCAGACACATTCACTCTTTTCACATTCTCACGCTCTTGCAGTTGCCTCTCTTGCAATCTACCTTCTAATCTTTCATTCTTCATAATCACTCTCATTACGCATTCTTCATACTCGGACGTAAGTCCGAGTATACCCTCGCACGCAGCCTTGGAGATGCGGTTGCTCTCCGACAATACAAACCGCCTCAACTTATCACTCACACACTTCACTCGCGTTAACTCTTCATGCTCACATTCATCATTCATACCATCATCATTCACACGGCGTTTTTTACCACGCTTTTCACATTCATCACTCAAACCACTCACAGCACTTTTCACACTTCCCACACTACACACCGATCTTGCACTCATTCTATCCAGACTCACGCTCACTCTTTCACTCACACATGCACGCTCACAACTTTCATTCCTTACACGAACATGACGCCTGAGGAGGGTGAGATCTCCATCCCCTCGAATCCCACTGGCGCCCCTTTCTTTTCGACATCGCGTCTCGCGCGTTCCCCCGACGCGGCCTTCTCCAAACTCCTCCCACCCAACTCTACATTTTGTTTTTTATTTTTATTTTTGGTGTCCATAACTGTTCCCACGAGATTGGTTGGTTGCTGAAACGGACATGTCTATGTATTTCTCAATGATGTTGCAGTTTGCGAGCTTTGAGCTCATTACTGCTTCGATCATAATCTTTTACCTATCTGTTTCCCAATACAGATAGGTGTTTTACGAATTTTGTGTCGTTCGTTTTTGTGGGTTATTTAGCCGTAGGGATTTATGCCCTCGTTTCCGTCCCCGCCACGTGGAGGCGAACCCATTTCTACTTGTTTTAGACATTTTATTTCTTTGTTTTTGTAGACATTTTGTTTATTCGTTTTGTTTCGTGCCCAGCACGTTCTGTGAGTATATTACTTGGTAATATCTCTCTTTATGTTAATATATAAATTGTCCGTAAGGTATTCGGATTTTTTTTGTGTTTTGTTTTTTGTTCGATTTGTTGGATGTTTCTTTTGGTTCGTTAATTCTCCAGGTCACAACTTTGTTGTAAGGATATTGCGATTTATGGATTTGTTTCGTTCCCGTCCAGCAGGTATGTGTTTCTCTCTTCGCAGACTTGTTTTACGAAGTGCTGAAACGGACAGTTGAACCGTCACATAAACCGAACTATCTTTTATATATTTAAAATAAAATCCACCATACAGTGTTTAATTAAAGTAAATTATGGCAAAAAAAAAAAAAAAAAAAGAAAAAAAACATGACGTTGAGTATTGAACAACGTGCGAACGTTTTGAAAGACTTACAAGGAGCATCGGTAACCTGTGAGACAATTGCGTAGATATACGGTGTTAGTGAAATAACTATTTATCGTATTAAGGAAGATGTGACGAAAATTAATATCTTTGCGGATAAAGGTAAACGTGGACTGAAGCGGCAAAGAATAATGGAACCAACGTATGAAGAACTCGATCAACTGTTGTTGGAGTGGTTTGTGCAAAGGCTCCCGTATTGCACCCCGTCCGGTACTGGTCCTGGGGGACCAACGCCCACCACGAGATGTGGGCGTTCCCCAGGGCCAACGCGAGGGGCTGGCGGTGGCAAATTGGGCAGCGGGGCTGGACCTCCAGCTTGTCAATCGGGGTTCGGCCCACACCTGCGTGCGCTTCCGGAGGCGGTCCATTGTCGACTTGACTTACCCCCCACTCCCCGGTGCGAGCCGCGTGTCGTGGTGGAGGGTGGAAGAGGAGGTGGAGATCTTGTCGGACCACCGATACATTCGGTTCGACGTCTCCACCGCCCTCGCCCCGCGCTGCCCGGTGGCCTCACCACCGCGAAGATGGCCGCACAAGCGCCTGGACGAAGACGCCCTGGTGGCGGCCTCTCTCGTCGCGGCCTGGCCGGAAGTTCCGGTCGGGCCCGTCGCGGATGTCGAGGGGGAGGTTTCGGCGATTGCGCGATGCCCTGGGCCAAGCCTCCCCGAAGGCGGGCGGTGTACTGGTGGTCGGGCGAAATAGCAGAAATACGCCAGGACTGCGTTAGGGCCCGACGCCAGTACACCAGAGCCCGCAGAAGGAGGATCCGCGACGAGGCGAGAAAGGCGACTTTGTAGGGACTCTACCGGGAGAGGGTGGCGTCCCTTCAGCGCGCCATCAGGAGGGCCAAGACCGAGGCGTGGACGGAGCTCCTCAGCTCTCTGGACCGGGACCCATGGGGGCGTCCATACCATATGGTGATGGACAAAATGCGCCCATGCCCCCCCCCCCTCCGGTCACGGAGAGCGTAGACCCTCGGGTCCTGGATCGGGTGGTGGAAAAGCTCTTCCCTCAGGGGGAGGAGCAATTACCAGATCCGGGGGCGGACCAGGTGGAACGGTCCTCCGACCTGGGGGTGACGAAGGAAGAGCTTGCCGGGGCGGTGTAGCGCCTTAGGGCCCGGGGAAACAAGGCCTCGGGTCCAGACGGCGTGCAGCAGGCGCTGTTCTCCACCCCCTGGAAGAGGGGGCGGATGGTCCTCCTAAGGAAGGAGTCCCTCCGCGTACCGGCTCATCATACTCCTGGACGAGGCGGGAAAGCTCTTAGAGAGGATTACAGCTTCCCGCCTTCCCAGCCACCTGTCGCGACGGGGTCCCGATTTGGTCGAGTGCCAGTATGGCTTCAGGCAGGGCCGATCCATGGTGGAGGCGATCCACCGGGTTCGTGCCCTATCGGATTCGGCCACCTCCAGGGGCGGGGTCGTGTTGGCGGTATCTTTGGATGTCGCCAACGCGTTCAACTCCCTCCTCTGAGGGACCATTAGGGCGGCGCTCGTAGCGAAGAGAGCGCCGCGTTACCTGAGGAAGGTAATCGGGAGCTACCTGAGCGACAGGTGGATTTCAGGGCCGGTACGGAGTAATCCGGAGGGAGATGAGTCGTGGCGTCCCGTAGGGGTCCGTTTTGGGCCCCCTGCTATGGGACGTCAGATACGACTCAGCTTTGCGGGCCTACCTGCCCTGCGGCGTCGCGCTGACGTGTTACGCCGACGACACGTTCGTGCTCGCCGCCGGGCGGGAAGCAGGAAGGACCATTCGCCTCGCCCAGGCCGGGGTGGCATCCGTGGTCACGTCGATCCGGGGACTGGGGCTCAGCGTCGCCCCCGGCAAAACCGAGGCTTTGTGGTTCTACAACGGGCCTCAGGGCTGGGGGCGGCCCCAGTCGTGGCTTCGCGTGTGTGAGTCGTCGATTCGTGTGGGTCGCACGATGAAGTATCTCGGCCTCCACCTGGACGGTCGCTGGCGCTTCGAAGAGCACTTCGACCTTTTGGTCCCCCGAGTTACTTGGAGCTAACGAATGGGTTCGCTGCCTCTACGAGGGGGTCGTGCGTAGTATGACCCTATACGGGCCACCTGTGTGGGCGGGCGACTTGATGGCCAGTCGGCGGAGCTTAACCAAGGTCCGTCGACTTCAGCGTGTGATGGCCATCAGGATCGCCCGTGGATTCCGTACGATCTCCCACGAGGCGGCGATGGCGCTGGCGTGACTCGCCCCGTTCGAGCTCCTGGCGGAGGGGGACGCCCAACTATATGGGCGCCTCCGCGAACTCCGCCGGGGTGGGGCAATCCCGTCGGCGTCAGAGGTCGAGGTGCTGAGGCGCCAGTCCTGATAAGGCGCCCTGCCCATGTGGAAAGACCACTTGGCGAGGATAATAGGCCAGCGCGCCGTGGGGGCGGTTCACCCGTCTTTTGACGAGTGGGTGGACCGCGGCAAGGGGCAGCTCACATATCGCATCACACAGGTGTTCACCGGACAGGGATGTTTCGGGGAGTACCTGGCCCGGATCGGTAGAGAGGTGGACCACGGATGCCACCATTGCGAGGAAGGACGCCAGGACTCGGTGCAACACACCCTCGCGGAGTGCCCCGCGTGGGAGGTGGAGCGCCAGGTCCTGGTGGGTGAGATAGGCCAGGACCTCTCGCCGCTGGCCCTAATCTGGGCCATGTTGGCAGGCGGTGGCCTCCTTCTGTGAGTAGGTCATGCTCCAGAAGGAGGCCGCCGAGAGAGAGAGGGTGGAAACTGGGATCACTCATGAATGCAGGGCTCTCCTAGCCGCTGGATCTCAAGCGCACTTCATCACAAGGGAAGGTTGTCGAAGAATGGGACTTGCCTGCATCGGTACAGAGGCAACGGTAGGCGGTATAGGCAAGCATATAAGTAGCATAAACAGTCAGACCGAAGTCACCATACATTCGCGATTTAACAATTTCAAGGCCACGTTATCTTGCTTCGTTATGAAGACAATAACGGAGAAGATGCCGACCACATCACTAACGAAATGCTTGATACCGACTCCCCCCGGAGGCAAGCTAGCAGATCCACGGTTTTATGAGTCTCGAAAAATAGACCTACTAATAGGAGCGCGTCTGTTCTGGGAGCTTCTATGTATCGGGCAGCATAAGGTCCCGTCTCAACGTTTAATTTGGCAGGAAACCCAGCTGGGATGGGTACTAGGCGGTAGATTAGATCACTTTTCAACTCCTCCACCAACGCCGCGGGTCTGTCACCTCGTCACTAATACACAGCTAGAAAGGTCCATAACGCAATTTTGGGAGATCGAAAATTGCATGGACGTGCGCCCTGTAACCGACAGCAATCACGCAGACGAATGTGAAATTCACTTTCACAAGACGACGACACGAAACAAAGACGGCCGGTACGTAGTGAGCATTCCCTTCAATGAAAGGCTACACTCATTAGGAGACACTCGGGAGCTAGCACGAAGGAGATTAAACGGATCCCTTATTGAAGCAGGTCTACGCATCGTTTATGAAGGAATACGAGGACTTAGGACACATGACGCGCGTCACCGACCTTCGGGATACGCGGTGTTACTACCTGCCCCATCACGCGGTATTTAAAGACAGCAGCAGCACAACGAAGCTGCGGGTGGTCTTTGACGGTTCCGCAAAATCAACCTCTGGCGTGTCCATCAATGACACGCAAAGAGTAGGACCTACCGTGCAAGACGACTTAATATCCATTGTACTTAGATTCAGACGACACAAGATAGTTTTATCGGCCGACATTACAAAAATGTACAGACAGATTTTGATAACGCCCGAACAGAGAAGGTTCCAACGAATACTGTGGCGCCCGAGTGAGCAAGATCCTATAACAGTTTTCGAATTGAACACCGTTACCTACGGCACCGCGGCGGCCTCATTTTTAGCAACGCGCACATTAAAACAGATAGGAAAGGATTGCGTTCAACAATTCCCAGTAGCAAGCAAGACCATACTATTGACCGGTGTAAATACGCTAGCCGAGGCAAACGCCCTGAAACAGGACATAACGAACGCGCTCGCCACGGCAGGTTTCGAACTTCGAAAATGGGCCTCGAACGACTCGCGGATAACAGCATGCAACGGTGAAAGCGCGATAGACCTAAGCGTGAGCAAAGACCCAAAAATCTTAGGCCTCATTTGGAGTGTGCAAGACGACGTACTGCGATACGCGGTCAAACCATCGGATACCACGCGAATAACAAAACGTGCGATGCTATCGGAAATCGCGCAGATCTTTGACCCCCTAGGACTGATAGGCCCTGTTATGATCCAGGCGAAAATAATGATGCAGGAACTCTGGCAATTGCAGTTGGGTTGGGATGAGTCGATTCCCCAATGGCTATTTTCGCAATGGGTCAAGTTTCGCGCGGAATTATCCGAACTCAACCACATGACAATACAAAGACGCGTTACACTGGACAACTCGGTAAAGGTCGAACTGCACGGCTTCTCGGACGTCTCTGAACGGACCTACGGCGCCTGTATCTACGTCAGGTCAATAAACTCAACGGGAAACATTTCGACCAAACTTCTGTGCGCTAAATCGCGAGTAGCACCTCTAAAGGTAATAAGTCTTCCGCAATTAGAATTATGCGGCGCGACATTACTAACACACTTGGCTGCGAAGGTAAAACAGACATTAGGAATAAGTTTTTGCGCGGAATATTATTGGACAGATTCCCAAATAGTCCTAGCCTGGATCAATGCTCCATCGAATCGTTGGAAAACTTATGTGGCCAACCGCGTCTCGGAAGTGCAACAAATCACGCGATCCGCCGACTGGCGGCACGTGCCGTTAGGTGAGAATCCGGCCGATATTATATCTCGCGGCGACTGCCCGGCTGCTCTAGCCGCGGCTGATATTTGGTGGAATGGTCCGGCGTGGCTAACAGCCTCACCCAGCAATTGGCCACCCCCGCACGTACCGTCTGATGAAAAGACCGAGCTCAAATCAACGGTCAAGGCGCTAACCGCGGTCGTTACCTCCTCGATATTCGAAAAATTTTCCACGTTAAACAAGTTAGTTCGCGTAACAGCTTATTGCCTACGTTTTACGGAAAGGGTTCGTGCCCCGATCCGCAGGTCAGACCCCCCACAAGCAATAAGAACAGCGGCCCTCTCGCCGACCGAATTGAATCGCGCGCGAATCGCACTAGTGAGAATAGCTCAAGGAGAGAATTTTCAGGAAGAAATAGAGTTATTAAAAACCAATCGCGGTGTTCCTAACGCAAGCACTCTTATTTCGCTAAATCCCTTCTTGGACGAAGAGGGAATCATAAGGGTGGGCGATAGACTGACTCACGCCTCGATCCCTTACGACCAAAGACACCCGATCATACTACCTGCCCGCCACAAATTCACGCTCCTTATAATTAGAAACGAGCATACGAAATTGCTGCACGCGGGTTGTCAGCAGGTAATATCATCGATACGCACTCGATACTGGCCATTGTCCTGCAAAACAATGGTAAAGGACGCCGTACGTAAATGCGTAAAATGTTTTAGCGCTAAACCGTCAGCCGTAGAGTACGTTATGGGGAATCTACCTGAATCCCGTCTAACACCCGCGTGGCCCTTTCATAATTGCGGCGTGGATTACGCGGGACCATTTTTACTAAAGGAACGAACTCGCAGTAAAGTAACCATAAAGGCATGTCTGTGCGTTTTTGTTTGCTTCGTTACGAAGGCAATCCACCTCGAATTGGCAGTGGATTTAACGACTGAGGCCTTCCTAAATTGCCTCCGTCGGTTTATCTCCCGAAGGGGACGATGCAAAACCATTTTTTCGGACAATGCTACAAACTTTGTTGGGGCTTTTAACGAATTGAGGGATTTATTGAAAGACCGGGGGCACAATAACAAAACTGCCGAATTCTTGAGCAGCGAGGGCATACATTGGCACTTCATGCCACCCCACTCACCCCATTTTGGCGGACTGTGGGAAAGTGCAGTCAAATCGGTCAAGCACCACATTAAACGTGTAATCGGTGATCAGAGATTGACGTATGAGGAACTATACACGTTTCTGACGCAAGTAGAATCATGCCTCAATTCCCGTCCTTTATCTCCCCTCTCCGATGATCCTAACGACTTGAACCCTTTGACCCCTGGACATTTCATTATCGGCGATTTATTGACCGCTCTGCCCCAGCAGGACCTTCGCGATATTAATCCTGGCAGACTAAAACGCTATCAATTGCTTAAGCAAATGTTCCAGCATTTTTGGTCGCGGTGGAGCATGGAGTACTTGCATAACCTACAACAGAGGGTGAAGTGGAGGCGATCAACTACCCTTGGCTTCAAGGCTGGGGACATGGTGGTTATAAAGGAACCGAATCTTCCACCGCTAAAGTGGATGCTGGCCAGGATCACAGAAACTCATCCTAGACCAGATGCAGTATCGCGGGTCCTCACTCTCAGGACAGCCGAAGGCATACTCAAGCGGCCGATCACTAAGGTCTGCTTCCTGCCCACCCCAGAAGAAGACGCAAACGAAGAGAACGACACCAGAAGACGGCTTAGTACATAAGACACAATTCTCATATCACTACGTAGACATGTAAAGCTCTTACTTTTTTTTTTTTTATATTTAACTGTAAGCACTGAAACGCTACGATTACCATATAATTCACTGTATATATGTATGTATAGGCTTGTAGTACTTAGATCATACTTATTAATATTGAACGTGCGAACAGTTCAAGGTAGGCGGTATGTTTAACCAACAGAGGTTTATGGCACGGATTCCAGGCGACGTTACTTTTGAGAAGTTTTTTCTACAAGTTCTTTGATAACAATAGCCTATTCAAGCCAGAGGGCAAATCTGGCTTGTTACCTGATGTCCGCGGAAATTCTCCACTTCTGCGGGCTACATGGTAAGCCGGTACTTGCCTCTGCGCGCTCAGTAACGGTAAACATGCCATAAACCCGCAAAGTCGACGTTTCAGCAAAATCGCCACGCGGAGCTGACACCCCCGTTTGGGACCGTCTCTCCCTCTCTGCCACCGCCCTACTCTGCGGACCACGGGGGAGTGCACGAGGGCCTAGGAGAGCGGCTCTAGGGGGTGAAAGGCCCATGATTTGCCAACTAGGTAAACTCCCCATTTTGGCAAAGGAACATATATACAGCTACTTCACGGCACACGGGGCAGATTCTAATACATTCAGAAACAATCGACAACAGTTTTGAGCGTTCTAACACGCAACATTCGACACTTTGATACACCAGTGCGGTCCAGTCCGCAATAATCAACACCACAAATAAAGTCGCGACTATAATCGCGATCATAAGTAGTTGGCACATACACGTGCAATAATTTACCAACACCAACCCGACCTTCCAACCCACGAGAAGCGCGGGAAGCTGCGTTACCAGTTTGTGCAAAGGAGGACACTTGGTGACAATATAACGGACGCCTGAATGTTAGAGAAAGCCATCGATTTAAAAAATAATTTAGCATCGTGTTCGCGTTTTAAAGTGAGCCATGGCTGGTTGACAAAATTTAAAAAACGCCAGGGCATACGTTTAGTGCATATTTACGGGGGAATAGCTAGCGCTGATGAGAATAGTACGGAGGCATTTGTGAACAAATTCAAAGGACGTGTGGAAAATGAAAACATAAACTTAGAAAACATTTATAATATAGATGAAAGTGGACTTGTGTGGAAGGCTCTTCCAAAAAAAAAAAAAAAACACTCTCGAGTGACACAGAACTGAATATAAGTGGTGGTAAAATTCGAAAGGACAGAATTACCATTGGACTATGTGCAAACGCGTTAGGTACACATAAAATTAAGATCCTAGTAATATATAAATATAAAAACCCAAGGGCTTTAAAACATTCAGTTAGCTTACCCGTAATTTTTAAATCACAAGTGAATGCGTGGATGGACAGGACAATGTTTGTGGACTGGTTTGAAAACGATTTCAAACCATCTTTGCGGGAATTTCATGAACAAAAACGCATATCCGGGAAAGTTATTTTGTTATTAGATAATTGTGAGGGACACAAGGTTTCGCCAGCACTGCAAGAAGATGAAGACTTCGAAATAATTTATTTGCCGCCCAATACAACGTCCCTGATTCAGCCGATGGATCAAGGCATAATATAGAAGACTAAAAGAGCTTTCCTCCACTAAATGTTGCAGTGTGTATTGACATATGAAAACGGTGTCAGTGAATTTTATAAACACTACACGCTAAAACACTGCATATACATGTTGTCTGAATCGTGGTCAGACGTTACTCAAAGTAACATAGGAAGCGGATGGAATAAACTTCTGGGGCTCTTAAATGACGGACAAAGTGAAATAATTATTCAACCTGATTTGCAAGATGTGATCAGCATCGTCACAGGAGAAGAGTGCACGCAGGATCAAGCCACACAATTTGTTCGTGAATGTGAAGAACACCCTCCAGAAGAACCAGCTACCGAAGATTATCTACACTACAGCAGTGAAGTTGCAAGGAATGAACTGCAAGCAATATTTCAACGATTAGAATTTTATACTACAACAGCACCGTAGTATATTAGATATATCATACTAGCTCTAAGAGACTATTTTTTTTGCAAATAATGTTGAACAAAGGGTAAGTATGTACTCATACACTGGTAAAATTTTTCAACCTACCTGAATATGAATAACTCATACAATAATATATGTGTATTATTTGTTTTTAGTGAATAGTGACAAGAGTGCAAGAAAATTTGAGTGCTAGAACGACCGGGAATGCTCGATACTGGCAAGTAATAGTTTGTAATTTTCCAACATTATTTTCTGCATATCTACTTCAATTTAAATATATCGATATGAAATTCATTTGTACAATGTCACTGATGGGTCATTTTGATCCGGCCGATTGTTCTAGTGTTAAAATCAGGCCTGGTTCCTACGCCTGGGGTCATCCGCCGCTGGGATTTTTCAAAGACGATCCGCGTGGAAAGTAACTAAGGATCCATCCGTACGACGCATCCTGTACTCCGGATGCCTTCCTTCAAGAACTCCATGGTCCTTCCTAACCCGCCCGACAAGGGTTTTCGTGGAGGTTTTAGTGGGTGAAAATCCCACATACTCTCCCTCGGAAGACTCTTTGGAAGATTTCCTCCACGTAAAAAAAAAAAACATTCTGCAAGTGTCAGTCAAACGGCAGGCCAATTCTCCAACTGGCAGTCAAACGGTAGGCCGACTCTATGTAATGTAATACAGGGCGTCTGTTTTATCTCAATACAGTGAAATATCTTTTAAGGAAGTGATGTTGGGAAAAAAATGTTTTAACAAAAGTTGATGGTACGAGCGGGAAAATTATGTGGTATAAATATTTTTTTGGTACCTGGTATGGTGGGGAGATTTCAAAGTCAGTTTAATTTTTTTAAATGAAATGCTATATTTTTTAATACATAATATGATAGTGTATGTTAAGACGAGTCCAACAAGGTGCGAACATAATCATTTCTTTTCATGGGAGGTCGTAAAATTGCGAAAAACCGGGAGCCGGACCACCATACGTGCCTCACTGTCGCGTGTGTCTGTTTTATCAAAGGAAATCACTTTGTTCGCACCTCGTTGTGGTGTAGCGATACACGCTTGACTGACAGCGAGCGAGATAACATGGGCGCAGCAATGACGTAGACCTAGGCGTAGGACCATCTATACTGACACTTATAGAATCCAAACTAGCTGACACTTGTAGAGCGGATTGGAAACCAACGCAAAAACGATAGTAGATAACAAAAAATTCTCAAAAATCATAACGACCGACAAGATCAAGTCAGCGATCATCATTCTAAACAAAGAATTTAACACAGTCAAACTTGAACAGTACAGCAATACACACTGTATATGCGCAGAAATCAGCACAACATCAAACAAATTCTATATCATCAGCACGTTTTTCCAGTTTTGCGAAAACATAAACCCGTACCTCGGACACCTGGAAAAAATACTACGAGCTCTGAAAGGAAACAAAATAATACTATGCATAGACTCAAACGCGAAATGAACGCTCTGGAACAGCAATATCACAGCACCAGCTAGCGATAGTAGATAAACCATCGACAATACACAAGTTTGAAAACACGCACGGACAATCAAACATAGACGTAACTCTCACAAGCAACGCACTCGCCAACAAAATAAAGAAATGGAAAATCCTGCCACACTAAACAGTAAGCGACCACAGCTTAATAGTTTTCGAAATCATAACACAGGAAACCACAGCAAGTAGATACAACATCAAAAGGGCAAATTGGAAAAAACTGGAAGAAACAATAAAGTCGATAAGGGAATTGGAACCCACGGAACCAGAAACACAACCAAATACGGGTTATATTTTAACTTCTCGGGTTTTTGCTCTCCACTTTGGTATGTTTTTGTTAGCGACGAAGCGCTGCCCAGACTTATTACCTGCTGCGTTTATTGCTTCGAGACACGCGACTTTCCGCGCGCGTCACTCAAGGGTGCGGACGACACTTGAGAGTGACCGTTGACTTGGGGGCGTTCCTTTAGGTCGTTCTTTGTTTAATAGTTTGCCAATCGCGTATAGTCAACCACCTCCCTTGTCGAAGTCGAAATTGTAATAACCAATCCAAGATACCGAGGTATCTTCGAACTTTTTCTGAGACTTCGAAATCAGAATCCATTCGGTTAGTAACAAGCAACATTGAAATCTTCCGGAAAACAATCACGAGCAAATTAGTTAGTCTCCCGGTACACGGGAGTGGCCCTTCGAATTGTAATCAGTCGGCACAAACGTGCAAATTCAGCCAATCTCGAAAGATCGCAAGGTCAACCACGAGTACACTAAACACGACATATGTATACCAAAGAAGACACAATTCTACAAATCCGCACCATGGTAGAATGAAAACCTAGCAGAAATGAGAAGAAAGTCCCGGAAAACAAGACGAGAATACCAAAAAACCCATAACGAAGCGAGAAGACATATACTCAAACAAAAATACAGCGACATAAACAATAAATACATAGAAGCCATCCGCAAAACAAAAGAGGAAAGTTGGAGAAAATTCGTGGAAAAAGAAGGAAACGTAAATCCCGGGGAGATAATATACAAGCTACAAACTTAGAAACTAAAAACAGACAAAGTTTGCGAGAGCATCAAGGTAGACGGGTCGCAAACAGAAACCTGACTAAGCACAATGCAACACCTGCTCAATGCTCTTGTCCCAAACGACGTCACAGACAACGAAACACAGAAACACAGGAAAATTAAGGAATACATAAGAACACCGCCAAATATAGAGGACGCGCCACCATTTACCGAAGACGAAATAAAGACAGCAATAAAAAACCACAGAGACAGGAAAGCACCTGGAATAGTCCTGCTGGAAAGTGAAATAATTAAAGCATCATGGGCAGTCCTCAGAGAAGAATTTACGGAAATGTACAACTACTGTCTAAGGAGTCTTTCCAGAAAAATAGAAACGAGCCAAAAATCCTTCTGAAAAATGAAGATAAGGATGAAACAAATCCGCGCTCGTATAGGCCGATATCAGTACTCCCGGTCCTAAG